ATATGGTTAGCTATCTATTAATTGGGTATCCATCTTTTTGAGAGCAGATGTCCATCTTTATGAGAGCATGGTGTCTGCCATCATTGATCACTCCCCTCCTTGTAAAAAACTTACTTTGTGTACTCAGTTCTAATGAATGTGGAACAATCTATACATAAAAAGTACATGAAGAAGTTTCATCGCATAGATTATTATAATTTCCATCACTTAAGTTCGACTTTTTTTCCATCGTCACTTTCATATGGTTATAACTTATAACGTTCTTCCCGGACAGAAAATACTTGAGTTGAAGTTTGATCGTAAGATTCAATGGAGTTTTGTGATTTAATGGGTGATAATCGGTGGTCCACCAATATTTTATGTTGCTCAGTGTACAATTATTGTATGTACCATGGATACTCCTACTGGGGTGACGTGTCCGATAGGTATCGGACACCAACGCTCCAGCACGTGTGTGCGATATGCCATGTGTGCATCCGATATTTCTAATAGTTTTGAAGTTCAAATCTTGACTGACACTTCTAGAACACTTCATGTGGCATATCATATATTATTATTATTCTTTTATAAAATGAAAATATCGTCCTTGACAAATAAAGGATACAATATGCTCAATTAGTAAATTTTGGATTATAAAATTAGGAGAATTTTAATTACTAGAACAACTTTGTAAAAAATTCAAAATAATGAAAGAGAAATTTATGAACACCTTGTCGAATTTGTTTTATATACATAATATGCATTTTTTTTCTGGCAGTAGTAATATATAGTTTAACCAAAATAATCTTAATATAACAAATGGCCACTCATCTGATTTAAAAGGTTTCACCAACAAGAATAAAAGGTAAAAGATAGGATTGATTCTATCAAAACATAAATAATACAAAAACGAAGATATAACTTATAAATGTACAATTGTAAATAATTTAAATTGATGTGTCCCCCCATGTCTCCATGTCCTACTTCTTTGAAAATCATGTGTCGGAATCTCCAAGTCGTGTCCGTGTCCATGTCCATGCTTTAGCTAGTATTTGTACATGTGTATGATGCATCGTACTGCTCCCAATGAGAAAATTTTGATGAAAACCTCTTGATTAATCTTTGTTAATTTTTTTGTAGAATAAAATTGTTATGTCAATTATATTTCTAACTATTGTTCCTTTTTCAGATTTCGATCTATCTGATGCACAGGTCAAGCATGCCTTGGGTGTTGAACATCTGGCACAAAGATTAGCTGCTCTTAGATATGAACTTTGCCCTGCCCATATGAGTGAGGGTTACTTTTGGATGGTCTATTTTGTTCTTCTGCACTCGAGATTAAATAAGCATGATGCCGACCTTTTGTCTACACCGCAGGTGAGCAAGTACTGCACATTATCGTCTTTGTTGAGCTTTTCTATTTTTATGTATAGCAAACTGATTTTATACATCTTGAATGAGATCTGCTAATAGTTGGATTATAATTTTCAATTTTCCTGTACATCATATTTAGTTGAGATGACCCTTTTCTGCTCAAAACATCCATCATAGTAAGATTTACTGGACAGTATCACGCAGTACCACGTAACAATAAATCAGAATTGCTAGAATTAGTGAGAATTGAGAGGGGAGATGGAAGCATTTGTTTATTCATCAAGCAAGTTAGTCCAATACAAAAATATTAACTCTCTTTATAAATCGTTTAACAATTTGAAGCTTCTGTGTTGTGCTTCGATAGTCTTCAAAATAATTTGCTGGTATTAGATTTGGGAGTCTTCAAAATAATTTGCTGGTATTAGATTTGGGCACACTTCAACATGTTTAATGTCAATCTTTAGAACAGCTTTAAGCTTTAACTGTTTTCTGAACCTGATTTGAGATTGAAGGTAACGAGTGTTTTTACTTGACCAAGAACCTGGCATCATACTATATTGTTTGTCTTGAATTGCTGCTTCATTATTGTTTTTCCAATGCAGCTCGTGGAAGCTAGAGCTATGTGGATGCAAGAGCTAC